TAATAAAATTTTTTAGAATATATATATAAATCATAAATGAATTTGATGTAAATTTAATCAAAACTTATGTATATTTATATAAAATAATAAAAATAAATAAATAAATATTTAGAAATGTTTTGTAAATAATTTTTTAAATTATTATTTTAGTTAAATTCTAAATAAAGCATTTTTTTATTATTATTTTTATATGTTTTAAAGAGTATTTTCATGAATAACAAATGCAATTTAATTTATATTAAGCAATTGTTGCAGCATGAATAAAAATAAATACATTTATAATGCATATATCTAATTTTATATTCAATTTTTAGTAAAAATTAAATGCTGGCTTTTTTTCTCTTTACATTTTCTTTTAATTTAGAAATTTTAGAACAAGGTTTTCGTAAACAACCAGATCGAGAATCTTCTTTCATTGATTAAATACATTTCTTGACTTATTTCTCATGTGACTTAAGTTCTCTGTTTCGCAAATATATAAAATATTATTAATTTTTTCTTCTTTTTTTATCTTCTAACAGCTTTAATACAAGTCTTGAGTTAGCCTTTGGGAAATTTACCAGTTTTTTTCAACTTAAATTTATTAGATTTTTATTCGAAAATTTTAGTTTTAATAATTTAAACATATATTTTTTAATTTAAAAAAAAATTAGTAAGAGTTTTAAACAAAGGAATAAATAAACGTAAATTTTAAATTTTAATGCCAAAAATTAAATGAAAAACATTTAAACGAATTTTTCAAATTTTTCATTGTTACGAAATCACCGTTTACATTATTATGTCACAGTGACGTGTAACAAAATCGTCCAATCAACTTTTATAAATTGCTTAATTATATAAATTTATGTGGGATATCAATCACGTCTTTTAAAAATTAACATCTAAATTAGCTCAGAAGGATGATCTATCTTCTTTATTAACTGCTATTTTCGTTTAGGTATAATTTATGAAGTTCAAACATGAAAAATAAATTTTCTTCACATCGATCTGTTTGAACACATTCGTACGTGTAGAGACTAAGAGATAATTAAGACTAATTGAACTTTACCTGTATTACCAATGATCAATATTGGCTACAGTATGTATGGGAAGTGAATGTAACAAGCTTCCTATTGACTTTTCTCTCCCTTTTCCTGAAACTTCCACACAAACCGGACGTAAAGATAACGTGATTGTCTTTATACCTGTATGAACAGCTTTTGAATGATAAACGTCAATCCTCTTTCTTTCACATTTAAATATAAAATTTACTCTATATTTATATACACTCTATACATGCCTACATTTAGAAAAAAATATGGCCGTTCTTTTATATAAAGTATTTACATACTTCAAGATCAAGCGGGTTACATAAGTAATACAAAAGTATCCAGATGGGGAATATAAATGGAAGACGAGTAAATGTTATATAGGGTCTATAAATTCATGTATTTGTAAAATATGTGCATTTTAAATTCAAGAAAAAGGAAAAAAATCTTTATACTGTTAAGTATAAATTATTTTATTGTATAGTATGTTCCATGTACAGTATAGCGTGGTAAAGTATATTCTTTGCTACTTCCCACTTTAAAAAAACTTTATTCAAATCGCAGTAAGATACATTCGAATAAGGCCACATTTGTTGACCCTATATCAGAAGCGGAAACATCCGGTTCTTTGAAGATTTCAAAGCGGTATTCTGCTGCAAAATTTCAATTTATAGTCAGTTGGAGCTTTCTAAATTTTTAACTTGAACAACGTTAGATGTTGGAGAATTATCATTTCACATTTCTTTTCAATAAGAGCGTGTTTAAGGAAACTGTTGCATTCTTTTTTATTAATTTTTTATTCATCCGTTTGTAAAAACGAATTCTCTTTTCTGCTTTTGTTTTTAGATAAAAGTTTTCTTTTTTTTTACTGGTCAATTTGAATAAATAAATTGAAATAAGGTAAACATTTTATTGGTCCATTTTGCTTTATGTTAATTACTCGCTCGTACAATTATCATCAAAATTTAACTTGTATGTAATAATGAATGCCATAATTATCACGAGTAATGCAAATTAAAGATATTTTATTGTGACATTAAACAAAGTTATAGTCTAGTATTGTTACGTAAAATATGATTGAATATATTAACATTAAAAAATTGATGTAATTCCAGTACAAAACTAGAGATAATATAAATTTCTTTATTAAAAATGTTATGACGTGATAACTCACGATCTATGGCAATAATTTACATATATAAATGTAAACATGAAAAATTAAAGCCTATAATTAGCCCAAAAATCATAATAAATAATACAAATAACTCTTAAAAATATTAAAGGTATTTTT